CTAAACGGTTAGAGATACAGGCTTCGGACAGGTACCAAATTAAAGCCCTTTCAAAACCCTACATTTTGCACTACATGGACGACTCTCTACTCCCAGTAGAAGCGGAGATATCGACGGAGAAAGGTTGGAAATCTTTAACCTTCGATATCTCCTAAACGGTTAGAGATACAGGCTTCGGACAGGTACCAAATTAAAGCCCTTTGAAAACCCTACATTTTGCACTACATGGACGACTCTCTACTCCCAGTAGAAGCGGAGATATCGACTGAGAAAGGTTGGAAAACTTTAACCTTCGATATCTCCTAAACGGTTAGAGATACAGGCTTCGGACAGGTACCAAATTAAAGCCCTTTCAAAACCCTACATTTTGCACTACATGGACGACTCTCTACTCCCAGTAGAAGCGGAGATATCGACGGAGAAAGGTTGGAAAACTTTAACCTTCGATATCTCCTAAACGGTTAGAGATACAGGCTTCGGACAGGTACCAAATTAAAGCCCTTTGAAAACCCTACATTTTGCACTACATGGACGACTCTCTACTCCCAGTAGAAGCGGAGATATCGACGGAGAAATGTTGGAAAACTTTAACCTTCGATATCTCCTAAACGGTTAGAGATACAGGCTTCGGACAGGTACCAAATTAAAGCCCTTTCAAAACCCTACATTTTGCACTACATGGACGACTCTCTACTCCCAGTAGAAGCGGAGATATCGACGGAGAAAGGTTGGAAAACTTTAACCTTCGATATCTCCTAAACGGTTAGAGATACAGGCTTCGGACAGGTACCAAATTAAAGCCCTTTGAAAACCCTACATTTTGCACTACATGGACGACTCTCTACTCCCAGTAGAAGCGGAGATATCGACGGAGAAATGTTGGAAAACTTTAACCTTCGATATCTCCTAAACGGTTAGAGATACAGGCTTCGGACAGGTACCAAATTAAAGCCCTTTCAAAACCCTACATTTTGGACTACATGGACGACTCTCTACTCCCAGTAGAAGCGGAGATATCGACGGATGAAGACTGAATATCGACGGAGTAATGTTGGAAAACTTTAACCTTCGATATCTTATAAACGGTTAGAGATACAGGCTTCGGACTGGTACCAAATTGAAGCCCTTTCAAAACCCTACATTTTGCACTACATGGACGACTCTCTACTCCCAGTAGAAGCGGAGATATCGACGGATGAGGACTGGATATCGACGGACAAAGGTTGGAAAACTTTAACCTTCGATATCTCCTAAACGGTTAGAGATACAGGCTTCGGACAGGTACCAAATTGAAGCCCTTTCAAAACCCTACATTTTGCACTACATGGACGACTCTCTACTCCCAGTAGAAGCGGAGATATCGACGGAGAAAGGTTGGAAAACTTTAACCTTCGATATCTCCTAAACGGTTAGAGATACAGGCTTCGGACAGGTACCAAATTAAAGCCCTTTGAAAACCCTACATTTTGCACTACATGGACGACTCTCTACTCCCAGTAGAAGCGGAGATATCGACTGAGAAAGGTTGGAAAACTTTAACCTTCGATATCTCCTAAACGGTTAGAGATACAGGCTTCGGACAGGTACCAAATTAAAGCCCTTTCAAAACCCTACATTTTGCACTACATGGACGACTCTCTACTCCCAGTAGAAGCGGAGATATCGACGGAGAAAGGTTGGAAAACTTTAACCTTCGATATCTCCTAAACGGTTAGAGATACAGGCTTCGGACAGGTACCAAATTAAAGCCCTTTGAAAACCCTACATTTTGCACTACATGGACGACTCTCTACTCCCAGTAGAAGCGGAGATATCGACGGAGAAATGTTGGAAAACTTTAACCTTCGATATCTCCTAAACGGTTAGAGATACAGGCTTCGGACAGGTACCAAATTAAAGCCCTTTCAAAACCCTACATTTTGCACTACATGGACGACTCTCTACTCCCAGTAGAAGCGGAGATATCGACGGAGAAAGGTTGGAAAACTTTAACCTTCGATATCTCCTAAACGGTTAGAGATACAGGCTTCGGACAGGTACCAAATTAAAGCCCTTTGAAAACCCTACATTTTGCACTACATGGACGACTCTCTACTCCCAGTAGAAGCGGAGATATCGACGGAGAAATGTTGGAAAATTTTAACCTTCGGTATCTCCTAAACGGTTAGAGATACAGACTTCGGACAGGTACCAAATTAAAGCCCTTTCAAAACCCTACATTTTGGACTACATGGACGACTCTCTACTCCCAGTAGAAGCGGAGATATCGACGGATGAAGACTGGATATCGACGGAGAAAGGTTGGAAAACTTTAACCTTCGATATCTCCTAAACGGTTAGAGATACAGGCCTGCCTCTGGCACCAAAATAAAGTCCTCTCAAAACCCTACATTTTCGACTAGAATGACGACTCTCTACTCCCAGTAGAAGCGGAGATATCAACGGAGAATGGTTGGAATTCTTTAATCTTCGATATCTCCTAAACGGCTAAAGATGCAGGCCTGTTTTTGGTAACAAAATACTACACTTTGATCTACACTTTGATCCTAGCTCAGAGAACCGAGAAGTGATGATTTGCAACTGCTACGTTCGCATTTTATCCTCTCCGAGTCGTTAATTCAACTCCGAGTATGCCGATGTCATCGGGCGCCACGTAGCGGCGATAGTTGTAAATTCAAGGTACGTTCAACTGCTGAAAGAGAGCTGTAGTGATTCGTGCATCGAGACAATAATATGTAATAATGATAATATAATAATATTTTTCCCTCTACGTGAATAGGCAAATATGGGTCAATCGATTTTCCACCTCGATCGCCGGATTTCACTGTAAAAACGTTGCATTTTTCCATAAATTGCGACTCCCATTTCACTCATAAAATTTATTTTCGTAAATCCGACGTTTCATTCAGAGTTCTGGTTAGCCCCGCACGAGTTCTAAAGATTATAATTAACACGCGACGCGCTAAAACCAAAATTGGTAGAGTTCTTGGCATTTTTCGTTTTCTAATCGAGAATTTTAAATATAATTTTTCATATTGTTTTAAACAGAACTATTTTTAAAACTTATCTAGAACTATAGAACTTGAAAATCTATCTAGAACTCTTAAAAAATTGTCATTTTTTACATAATGAGGGGCGTCGTGAAGTTGGCCCTCCGATTTTTAAAATGATATTTTCTCTACTTTAAATGACGGAACTCTTTCTATAAAGGATTGCGAACTCTAGAACTCTGCGAGGGGCATTCAGAACTCTAATAATTTTTTTCAAATTTGAAGAATGAAGGGCCATCTTCACAGAGGTGATGGAGCGAACACATTCTCTGTCTCTCTTTTGCGTTGCTCGTCGAAACAAGTCGAGCGGAGGGCGGGGTCTCAGAGGAAGTGTCATCGACGAAACATGCAATGCTTGCGATGCCCGTGTGTTGTATGCAATACGTGCATTTTCTTAAAAAATGAAAAAAAATTTATTATGATACATGTATGTTGTATGCAACACGTGCATTTTCCTAAAAACGAAAAAAAAATGATTGGCGAAAAAGGACAACGCCGACTGCCAAGAGATGCGAACCACCGACCTCAACCCCGCAAGTCCAGCGTACTTCCATCAAGCCACACGCTCTTTGAGAACCTCGCTCCTTCATTTGGTTCATGAAGCACTCGCGATTTTCAATCGCGACTTTCTTGCAAACGCTTCAATGCTACGCCGTATCTTTAAGTGCAATGTTAATTTGTCATGCAAATCTATCGACACAACGAGTTTAGTCGAAATCGATTGCTATTGATCATCTCGTTGGATTCACGCCGAGAGTGAAACGTCAGTCTCGGCCGTGTATCGGGAAGCACAATCTCGGCAACGTTGCGAATCAGAGCGAGATGGAGAGAACACATTCCCTCTCTCTCTCTCTTTCGCTTAGCTCGTCAAAACAAACCGAGCGGAGGGCGGGACTTCAGACGGATAGACGGGAGCAGTTTCTCTGTGTGTGTGTGTGTGCCGACTACATTCTTACATAGAAACGTACGACAATTGAAAATGTTTAAGCATATACCCTGAGATTCTATCTGTTGCGTTGACACGTGTGTGTGTGTGTGTGTGTGTGTGTGTGCGTATATGCACACGTACGTCACGCACACTTTCAATGCAACACATGCACACGGACACAACTGCGCTAAAAAACGCCTACCGGAGTATAAATAAATACTATCGTAACGCTGAAATATTTTGGAAAAATAATTTTGGGTACACACAAAATATTATCTTATTATCATATATTTATATATCGATATAAATCGTATATAATCTTCATGATATTAATCATATACAATCTCAATTCTTATTTTTTTGGTGCATGTTAACATGTTAATTCATGTTACAAATGCATAACAATATGCGAGACCGTGCTTGTCAAGTACGCTATTATGGTTGTAGCACGGACATAAACCGCCTGAAAGTGGATGTAGCACGGACAGCCACCAGATGCAGGTTTTACCGTCGAGACCTAAAAGTGGATGTAGCATCGTAGTTCCCCTCTCAAAATGGATGCAGATAGCGCCCATTCCCAGTGCGAAAAATCGGTGTCGCCGAAAACGCCATGTTGGCCGCTCTCAGCTTCCTCTCTGGTTATACCTATACGTATATTTTATTTTTCTAGGAAACTTAACTCTAACCAGGGCTGCGTTCCGATATTCACTGTCAGCACTAAAATTCTATAGTATACGTGACACAAACTATGTATTTTCAGTACTGGCAGTGAGTTTCGGAACGCAGCCCAGGTTATCGTAAAGACCCTATGAATACAACCGTAGGTGGTGCTGTCCAGGGTCGCCATCTAGTGTCACCAGAATCTAGAGAATTGGACAAGTTGGTTGCCACACTTGACTTATCTATATGGATTAGCCCTAAATATCCGAAACTTAATCCTCTGTGTAAGAAGTCTTCGTAGTATTTTTTATTAATGCTCAACGGTTGCGGAAGAGATGCAACTTTCAAATTTTGAGCTCTAACAGTTTAGATATGATGGCGTGAAGTGTTGTGAAATATCATAGTTTTAATATTTCTTATAGAAACTTAAATTGAATCTTAAAATAAATAAAAGTTGTGCATTTGTTCATATAAATTATTATTTCATTAAGTTGATACGTATTGGCGTGGAAATTTATAGGGGAAATAATACCGAGCGTCGTAATGGCTTCATTATCGCTTTTAGCTACTTATGATGAGCTGGTGAGATGTACAAATATCTTGATAAATGAATCCCATGAAGAAGGTATGTATTTTAATAAATAACAACAATTAATTTTGTTATATTTATTATGAGTCATTTATTTTTAAGGAAATATTGTATATTATAATGTAAGTAGAATTTTCTTGTATTTATGGATATACAATATACAATAATATTGCTTTATAGAATTCTTACAGTTTGCTCTAAATCAAGAAGAAATGAGACAGAAATGGTTAGCATCGGTACAAGAATGCCAACGTCTTCATTCAGCCTTAGATAAGGCTCATCGTGATAATGTTGGTCTTGATAGAAAATTGTCTCATGCTAGGAGAAATTTAGAAGATGAGAAACGTAGACGTCGCGCTGCTGAAGACCAAAGAGATTCATTAGTAATTTGAATTTTTACAATAATCTTTATATTTCTAAAAATATGAATTTAATAGTGTATTTATCTTTTAGGAAAGACAAATTGCTATGGCCAGAAATCTCTTATTTAATGATGGTGGAAGAAATTTAAATGATGAAACTAGAGAAAAGCTTCAGTTTCTTAACAATACTACTTTTAATCATCCAAGTAACATACATATGCAGGACATGCACATTGATAAGTAAGTATTGGTAAAAACCATTAATTATCTAATTTATCAAATAATATGCTATTGTTGAAATTTTAGGCTCAATACAATAGCAGAGCTGGATTCTACAGGTTCAATATTGAGTGATCTTAACTGCTTATCAAAGACAGAAGATGATTTAGATACCAGTGCTATTTTACAAAATCAGAAAAAAGGGGAATTGAAAGAGCAACAATCTAATGAATATTTTACAAAGCAACATCGCAATACAGTACATAAAGTCACAGAATTGAATTCATCCGATAAAATAGTAGCAACTACTACTGTAGTTATGCCAAAGGATGGTACTATTACAGCATCATCTACGATTGAAGCTATACCTGGTGATGAAAATATAGATCCTCAAGTTTTTTTGCGTAATTCACGTAAACGACGTAAGAGTGGTACAGAATGTGAGAGATCCAAATTATCACACATAGATACAAATGAAGTACTAATAGATACAGCGGTATGTTATTAAAATACGTAATTTATTTACCTTTTTTTACATTTCCTTATGGTAATTTATTATTGGTATGATATTAAGTTTCTATAAGAAAGAGTAATATTTTTCTTATAGAAGTAATCTTTTCACTTTTTTTTATGCAACAGTATGTGTAATATATGTGTACAATTAAAACTTTTTCTTCAGCCATCAGCACCAAAAGCTGATATTCTTTCATCAAGTTCAGACACAGAAGATGTTTTTAAACCAAGTCCAAATATTGGTGGATATACTTTAAACGTAAAAATGTCCAGAACACATAATTTTGAAGCTAAAACTGTTATTAAAAAGGAAACATGCACACCATGTGGTAAAAGGTAAATTTACAGTTTTTTAATTAAAAAGGGATATATATAAATGCATTAAAAAGATTTTATGTAATTTATTTATCATACAGAACTAAGAATGATAGATGGAATCAATTTATAGTTAAAAAAATTGTAATGTTTATTAATTATAGTATTCGATTCGGAAAAATTGTGCAGAAATGCAAAGATTGCAAAGTTATGGCTCATACTGAATGTAAAAATTTAGTACCATTACCATGTGTTCCAACAGGAAATACGCCTACATTACGTGGTATACCTGTAAGTGCTCTATTATATTAATTTCTGCATTATTCAAACATCCAAATATCTTCACGGAATATCATTCATAGGGTACTATAGCTGATTATACACCTATGACGCCACCAATGGTACCTTCTATAATAGTTCACTGTGTTAATGAAATTGAATTACGTGGAATGAACGAACAAGGTTTATACAGAATAAATGGTGCAGCTGCTGATGTTAAATGTCTAAAGGAAAAATTCCTAAAAGGCAAAGGTGCTCCGAATCTTTCCAATGTTGATATTCCAACTATATGTTCTACTTTGAGAGATTTTCTCAGGTATATTATTCTCAATTGTTACATACATCCTGAATTATATATATAAGTACTGTATATATATTCACTTAAATTTAATGTTCTATAGGTCACTACGTGAACCATTGATCACTGTCAGTTTGTGGGCAGATTTTGTACGAGTCACAATGATAACAGATAAACAAGATGCTGATGCTGCTCTCTATCAAGCTATTTCAGAACTACCACAACCAAATCGAGATACTTTGGCTTTCTTGATGTTACACTTACAAAGAGTATCAAGTAGCCCTGAATGTAAAATGCCCATCAGTAATTTAGCCAAAGTCTTTGGGCCGACTTTGGTTGGTTATAGATCCCAAGAACCATCTCTCGATATGCTCAGTGAGACCAAACATCAAGTTGCAGTAAGCAATATTTTCAGTAATATGTTAATTAATATAACTAACATAGAAAATTGTAACAATATAAATATATATTCCAGATAGTAGAAAGTTTACTTCAAGTACCATCTGATTACTGGGACAATTATGTGAATCCCACAAACACAAATGACACATGTACTCCAAAAACTGGAGAATTAAGACATACACCATCCACAGAGTCACTTCTTAAACGTACTACCTCTCGTAGTTTTTTTAATACTCCGCTTACTGCCAGGTAACAATATAAATTGTAACTAGTCCATACTTCACACATATTTCTTATTTCACTTCCATTTTTATTTACAGCCGTACTTTTGCGAGAAGAAACAAGAAATATTTTGCTACACCACCTTCTAGAGCAGGTTTCTAACAAATAAATTTATTCGTTATATTAATTAAACAAAGATATGTTTGATCTGATATTTGAAATGTGTGTACCATTTCATTTTTTCTTTTTTGTAAATATATTTCTACAAATATAATTCACTAATTTATATTTTATTTTATGTATAGAGATCATACATTAAAAATTTAATGGTTAAGATAATTATATTTTAATTCTTGATAGTTGAATTGATTAAATACAAAGTTTCTAACATATTTTCTGTGTCAATTTTATATCTTTTGTTCCCATAATTTTATTAGTTTAAAATATTCTGTTTTATAGCTTTTTTTATAGCATTTTTCTATGCTTCTGATAATAATTTTTGCCTAAGAATTAACCATACAGCAAACGACATATTTAGAATTCAAATTCAGCGTTGAAATCTACACATATCGGGTATAGAGGCTACGTTCCGATATTTACTATCAGCACTAAGGGTGAAATCCTATGGGTCCAGCATACGGTGTACTGGCGTAAAGAAACTAGATCAATCACAGGCTTTCCGCTCGTTTCGTTACGCTAGCATGAATTCTACGCTGATTTTGTAGTGTTCCAGCGTTTATGCTATATACATACATATAGACAGGGTGTTCATTTGAAAACTTTCCAGCTAATTATCTCGAAAACTATGAGACATATTAAAAAAGTTAAAACACGTGTTCCATGATTTCGAAGCGGAAAGAGAATGGCATTATCAGTTTTTTATTTAGAGGGCGTTTTATAAGTCATTCGAAGGTCAATCTTGTTTTTTTTAATGGAAACCTATATTTTTTATTACGGGATATTTTACGTAAAGAAACCAGCAACTTCTATAGGAAACATTTTTTGCCTGAGCACTATGTTGGAAGTTACTTAAGAAAATAGTAAGGCATAGTTACTGCGTCGAATTTGTCATTTATTATAACAAATGTTCAAAATGTTCTCTGTTGTTTGCTAAACAATAATAAAGACGATTTTGAAATTCTGAACGAACATTTTAGAAGGTATCTGTTGGAATAGCTCTACATTCCTGTATAATTCTTTGACGCAAATCGTTGATATTTTCCGGTGGAGTTTTATAAACAACGGATATCCTTTTAGATAATCTCTGATACAAGTTTTACACTTGACTGAATAATACACTGTGAAAGAAAGGAAGTGATTAAGTACAACATAAACAAATGGCCAAAGAAGGTCAACTTTGTTTTCGAAAGATACGTGTTAGTACGATCGGGAAATATCAACAATTTGCGTCAAAGAATTAATTGTACAAGAATGTAGAGCTATTCCAACAGATACCTTCCAAAATATCGTTCAGAATTTCAAATTACTATTGTTTAGCAAACGGAGAACATTTTGAACATCTGTTATAATAAATGACAAATAAATTAAATAACAATTAAAGAAGCATTTATTATATTTTTATCATAAAAATTGATACCAGATTTTGTATTTTTTATTAATAAAATCACAAATATAAAATAAAATTATTTTATTATTTACATTATATAAGTTTGCGGATAAATTTTAGAAACTTAGTAATATCATAGTTGTAATGACAGTTTATCTTCAGAAACTCATTAACACAGTAAGCGCTGCATCGGTCCCTGGGGACTGACAGTGAACTTTTCGTTTGGACGGCGTCGGTCCCTGGGACCGGCAGTATCAAGGTTAAAAATAATTCACTCAACGAATCGCCATCTCCTTCTCTCAACATTTTTGGTATTATAAGCAATAAATTTTTTTGAAAATAATGACTGTAAAAATTACTTTATAAAATACAACGAACTAAAATTCTCTCTGGGCAAAGAACCTTTCCACTTCCGTGGGCTTTTTCTAACTGATCGTCTTTTGGAGGTCGCTTTTTTATCGTTCTCCAAAGAAAAAGAATACTAATACCATTTCCGAAAGAAAAATGTCTGTTCTTTCGAATGGCTCCGTCAGAGTTGACCTACGATGCGAAGGTGAGAGGTCATGGCGGGTTTTTTTAAACAAAAGCCAAATTTTACACGATTCTGTTTTGAAAATTCGCTTTTTCAAATGGGAAAACGTTTCGCTAGAGCATCGTGACCACGCTTAAAAGTAGCATGGATGTCTATTCTAATAGTGTTGGAGTTTTTTTCAAATTCAATATGGCGGGTTCAAGTTGGCGCCTCAGTTTAATATCTTTGAATAACTTATTTGGATGACGTTTTTTTTGAAAAATAAAAATATTCAAAATAATACGATAATATGTTAGAATACAACATTTTTATTATGGAAAATCTATAATTGACTTCGATGATACTGATGGGCAAGAATATCGTCTCAGTAATATCAATATCGCATTCATTCCGTGCTGAGGATACTTTGTGTGAACGCCTCTTGTGTATATACGTATATATATTATTTATTTATATTTATACGGCAAAGTAATTAGAACCTTGATGGCTGAAGAGCATATAAGAGAATATGTATGTGTAGAAATAATATTGTTTTTGAATGGCACCCTTTAGGGGTCATTGAAACCCATAAGTTATTTACATAGTTGAACGTAAAATTTTCCGCAGTTTTTATTTCTGCAGCAAAAAATATGGGTTTCTATTTAAAAAAATCAACTTGACCTTGAAATGACCTTGAGGACAAGTTCAAGGTCAAACTCAAGGTGACCATTGAATGCCTTTTTTCATTTTCTACAACTTTTGTATTTGAAGTTTTTCAAAAAAACGTCATCCAAATAAGTTATTCAAAGATATCAAACTGTGAGGCGCTATCTTAAAGCCGCCATATTGAATTTGAAAAAAACTCCAATACACTTTATTAGAATAAATATCCATGCCACTTTTAAGTGTAGTCGTGATGTTCTAGCAAAACGTTTTCCCATTTGAAAAAGCGGATTTTCAAAACAGAATCGTGTAAAATTTGGCTTTTGTTTTAAAAAACCCGCCATGACCTTTCACCTTCGCATCGTAGGTCAATTCTGATGGTGCCATTCGAAAGAGCAGACTTTTTCCTTCGGAAGTGGTATCAGTATTTTTCTTTCTAGGCCGAATACATCGAAAGCTATTGGGCTGAAAGTAAAATACAAAAAATGGCTTTCTGGTCCTTAAAGGGTTAATGCAAATATATCTCCGAAAAATTATTAATACAAATATCCAAATAAAATTATTGAAATTATAACGATTAATTATAAAAATATATGTTAAATTAATATAATATAAATTATATAATATAATTATAATTATATTATATAATTTATATTTATTAATTTAACATACATTTTTAGAATTAACTGGTATAATGTCAATCATTTTATTTGGACATTTGTATACATTATTTTTCGGAGATATAAAATGTCATTAACACTCATACAGTACAGACAATTGCAGCAACATTGCTGCAATGTTGTAACATTGCACATTGCAGTGCAATATTATGCAGAAACATTGCAAAAACAATATTTTGCATTATTAAATCTGCAATGTTGTAGCAACATTTCAAATTGCGGTTATTATTAATAAATTATACGAGATAAATCGCTAAATGGATGAGGACTTTTTCGTTCCTCTCGCTTAGCTGTACACCTCTATGGAGTTGGTATGTTACAATTATGGGACACTTTGTATAATGCTTTAATTCTCATATGTAATCACTAATTATATTTAATCACCACGATTTGGTTTTACAATGATTTAGTTTTATATCCCAAACTTAGACGTCTTATTAGTTCAAGAATAGTTACCGCAAGTCTTTAAGACTTGTATTATTCCAAATAGCAAAATGACATCTTATTGACGTTCTATTGAGTCAATAAAACGGCGTCTTTTTAAGATATTATTTTACTCTTTGAAATATTACAGATCTTGGGAACTTTCTGTGAATATTCTTGTTTGACGTCAGAAATGAAAACAATGGTATATTAATCTTTTTTTTCTCATGTACGTTAAAATAAAAGAGATTTCCATAAAACGACACTTATGATCAATTTTACAAATTTGTAAAATGTTCCGATACTTTTCTTTTGCTGTATGATAATCATTCACTGTAAATAATTAGTAAAATTTATACAAATGTTGAGATGAACATATTATCTCTCATGATTATTGTTACTGAATTTTTATGGAAAATTATTGATCGTCACAAGAGGAAAGTGTGTCCAGAATATTTTATAAATTTGTTAGATCGATCACAAATATCCTCTGGAATGTATCTATATAACTAAAACAATTTTTGACATACGATCTTTCGCTTCTGCTGTTATTAAATAAACACTCACGGAGAGTCTCCAGGAGAGACTCTCAATATATACAGGGTGCCCCATTTTAATGTCCCACCCCAAATAACTCTTCAGTATTGAAGTTTCAAGGAAAATGATCTGAATAAAAGTTGTAGGGATTTAAGTGAGTTACCTTATGATGACCTTGACTTTGACCTTAACCTCTATTTTCAAAGTCATTTAAAGATCAACTTGCGTTTTTTCAACGGGGACCCTTATTTTTTATCACACTATTTTTTTCTACTAGTTAATTTGAACAACTTTTGTCTAAAATATTTTTTTATTTGTCTAATATTTTTTAGATATTTGAGAAAAACTTGATAACTTTTTCAATATTTAACTTACGATATCTCGCTAACTATTTGTCGGAAGAAAAAGTGGTACTAGACTTTCTTGCTTTATATAGTCTCAAGAATATATTGTTATAATAGCGCCTTGACTTTTGTTAACTTACTGATTATTGGAAATTTCTAAATCAAATTAACAAAAATCAGGTATTTTAAAAATGGGACACCCTGTATAGTATATACACATATATATATATATATATATATACAGGGTCTGCCAAAAGTTCCGGAACGGCTAATTATTCCAAAAAATAATAATTGTTTAAAACAATGTTTAATGTGAAACAAAAGTTGTAGGGCTTAAAAAAAGGTATCAGATATTGATAATTGTTTGATCTTGGAATAACCGTGAGAAACGTTATCAAGGTCGACATAAAAATCTTAAATGGAAACTTTAATTTTTTATTACACCGTCTTTTTCTACCAATTAATTTGAACAACTTTTGTCTGAAACATGTTTTTATTTGCTTAATATTTTTTTAGATATCTAAGGATAATTTTTCAATATTTAACTTACGATATCTCGCTAACAGTTTGTCGGGATAAAAAAATGGTATTAAACTTTTCTATTCTATTTGATCTCAAGAATATATTGGTATAATAATGCTCTATTTTTTGTTAATTTATCGATCTTTCGAAATTTCAAAATCATCAAATTAACAAAAGTCAGGGTGCTATTGTAACAATATATTCTTGAGACCAAGTAGAATATAAATATCTAGTATCAGTTTTTTATCGCGACGAACAGTTAGTGAGATATCGATAAGTTAAATATCAAAACAGTTACCAAGTTATCCTTAAATATCTCAAAAAATATTAAGCAAATAAAAAAATGTTTCAGACAAAAGTTGTTTCAGACAAATTAATTGGTGGAAAAAGACGGTATAATAGAAAATTGGAATTTCCATTTAAGATTTTTATGTCGACCTTGATAACGTTTTTCAAGGTCATTCCAAAGTCAAACAATTATCAATATTTGATACCTTTTTTTAAGCCCTACAACTTTTGTTTCAAACATTGTTTTAAGCAATCATTATTTTTTTAAATAATTAGGCGTTCTGGAACTTTTGGCAGACCCTGTATGTATATTTGAATATAACCAGTAATTATAAAAAATATTTACAGGTGTTTGCGATTATAAAGAATTATTTATAGACTGTTTTATCGGAATGCCAGATCGCATGCACAATTCAAGAGTTTTTAGGAACAGTCCATTATTTAATGCGATAAGAAATGGATGTATTCTAGAAAATCGACATATTATAGGAGATACGGCATATCCCCTATTACGAAATTTAATGACACCATTTAAAGATAATGGTCATTTAATGCGTTCTCAACTTTTATATAATATTAAACTAAGTTCAATAAGATCAATTATTGAGAGAGCTTTTGGAACGCTTAAATCAAAATTTAGAAGACTGAAATATTTAGATATCTCAAATTTTGACTTAGGTAATAATATGATTGCTGCAGCTTACATACATGCCTATCTCTGGTAAACTGTGCCTTATTCGTAAACACCAATCAGAATAATATTGACCTTTAATGTTATGGTTACTTGGTTACTAGTCAATAGCAGTGGTTGCGCCTTTGAAATCGGCAGAATATTGTCACCACATTTCAGTTCAATTCTGTAGATCGTGCGTGAAACAAGGTTTATTATAATCGTACTTGCTACAACAATGCGTGATATTCAAGATCTTCGTAACCGTATCATTGCAGGTTGCGAGACAATTCGCTGTACGCCAGGCATTTTTTAACGTGTCCATGAATCAATGCGTCGATGTGTCACTGCTTGTATTTAGGCGAATGGCGAATATTTTCAACATTTATTGTAACTAACTCAAGGTCACATTAAAACCAAATGTAAATAAGCCTAATTAAACGATTGTCGTCTATATTAATTAATCCTAAATTTTTCCTTGTGTAAATAATATAGCTAACAGTATTTTCAACATAACTCCTGAAATAAGCATTTCCGCACCTATGTCCATATAACATTTTATCATCCTTCAAATGCGAGGAATATCTCCTTAAATTTTTAACATATCTTTTTAGAACACCCTGTATATACATATAAGGCTATACTATATATGGTTTTATTAGTATAACAATATTTTCATTGATATCCTTCGTCAGCTATGGATGACGAAAACATGTTATTTCTCTATGCAGTACAAATAGCTAACATAGTATTGTACACTGCAATTTGTAAATTTAACCTTAACAATCCAAACTTTGTGATTGGTTGGCAATAGGAATAGAATTTCCAACGTAACAGAAATTCTATCTGTTGCTTGTACCATGGTTTATTATCTGCATTGATACACGGTTTCTGATATATTGAAATTCTTTGTTCCTATTCCTTATTTCTATTGCCTGTTCCTATTCCCTATTTCTATTGCTTTCTTATTGCTTGGCATTGTGCAAGGACCTTTACGGTTCTGTGAAACACCTTGTATAACATCGACGCGTGATTGGCTAATGTCAGCGACGTCACGTGATCGCGGCGCGTATATACGTATCGACGGGTGTTAAACTTTGCCACTCACTCTTTCGATCCTTCGCGATGAGGTTCTCTCGTTTGTGCTGGAGAAATACTTTGTATTTGCTGATCACGACTTCGTTACATATTATTCTTGACGTTTTCGGAATAATGTTGGTTCGTTTCATTTTCTGTGTGATTGAAAAATAAAATGAGTTGTGCATGTGTGCGCATATGTGCGCGCGCGCGCGCACGCAAGTGTGTGTATGTGCGTGAAAAGGGGAAAAGGTGGGATGAACCGCAATGTCTTTCGAATAAAATACTCGTTTTTTGAGGATCACGAAAGGTACATTTCGAATAGTTTAAAATCTAATGTTTGTAATTAACAATAAAAATGCGTCTTTTACGTTCAAAACAGTTCGAGACACAAAATTTTTCTCTGACTGCAATTTTTTGGATCTTATGTTGTTCGTTTCTTTCGAGAGTGCATGGGTTCTTGCGAATAAATCGACGCAAGTAACTCGTTTGGTTCTCTTGAACAAAGAACACAAAAAGCGGTGCGCATCTGTGAAATTGTGAGACAATTCATAGAATTTATTGGTAAGCTATAGTCTCAATTACTGTCGTGAAATAGAACAGAGCTTTTGACGATTCCGTGGAAGAAAAGGAAAGCTGAAAACACACGGGACAACGGACGTGTTGATCGGGCATGGGTTTGACGGATACCAGTTTCGAGCTACTTTTGACCCTGTGGCGAGTCTTCGTCGTGGGAGTCCTGCGAATCGAAGAGCCGCACGGTCAGTGTCGCGGTGTCTCGCCAAGCTGCAACATTCACGGTGTCGCTTGTCGTTAGTCTGTCCTAGTGTGATACCCGGTAAGTACATGCATCTTACCTGTTTCGTTATTTGATACAACTTTTGTTCGGAAAAGATTGAATTGAATAATAAATTCGCTACTTCTTCGTATCAATAGTATGTTTGGCTGTATAACAATATGTCAGAGAGAGAGAAAGAGAGAGAGAGAGAGAGAGAGAGAGTTTGTTTATTTATTAAAATAGTTCTTATGTAGAAATATGAATTATTTCGAACTATAAATATTTTATTTTTTCAAATATTTCCTGCGAATATAATGTAAAATCTATGTATTTTTAAATATTTCCCATTTCATATCATATCATAATTCAATAAATAACAATTTCAATAAATAACAATTTTTAAATCTCCATCTATTTTATTATTATATTATTGCATTTTATTATTGATTTTATTACTGTATCTTAAGTATGGTTAGGACTTTTTTAGAAATTATTATGTAATGTTTTTTAATTTATCCATGCTTCTATAAGATTTATAATACATTTTACACGATTGATAATATTCATATATAATCCTAATTTATGGTATATTATGCATTTTCACGATATATAAATACATCATAAATGTTAATATATCCATCTCTACGATTTTGATTTATTCGATTTATTATTATCATTATATTGTACTTTATACCTTTTAATTTTATTAGTTCTTTTGTTTTTATTAGTTTGTTGTAAATTAGTTGTTTCTTAAAATTTATTTGTAAATATGGAGTTGTGAATGATGTATTATAATGAATAGAAATTATCTTTATATTTACCGATTATACATATAAAATGTAGTTCATAATAGTTCAATTATGCATTAAAATAAATAGTTCAATCATACATTTTTTTAATCCTTTATTGTTGAATTTTTTTAACTACTATATATACATATATATAAATATGTGTGTGTGTGTGTATATGTGACGACATTTTTAAACTTTGAACGGACTATTTGGACATTTATCCTAATTACATGTTTCATAGTAAATTCCAAATTGGTTTAAAAAAATATTTTAAACATATCTTAGACATTAACTTGTTCTTATAATATTTTCATATTATAATATTTTCATAATATTAAAATATTTTATAATATATCTTATAATATTTTCATAATATTAAAATTTTCAATCTTTAATGAAAAGTATATGTATAAAATATATACACATTTTTCATTGAAGATTGGAAATTTTAATAGTAGAAACTTACGAGAAGTATATATATACAGGGTATCCCATTTTAAAGGACCCACTCAAATATCTCAGAAACATTGCGTTAAATCGAAAAATGCTTAAGACAAAAGTTATTTAGCTTGAACAGGGACATGGGACAGCGATAGCATTTTGTTTATAGATGGCTCCATTTTCGAGATATTTACTAATTATCAATTTTCTTAAATAGAAATCCAAATTTTTTATTATATCATCTTTTTTTACCAATTAATTTGAACAACTTCTGTTTGAAACATTTTTTTATTTGTTTAATATATTTTGAGATATTTAAGGAGAATTTGGTAACTCTTCCAACATTTACCTTACGATATCCTGCTAACAATTCGTCGAATGAAAAAATACTATTAGGCTTTTTTACTTTATTTACTATCAAGAGTATACTATTATAATAGTGCCCTAACTTTTATTAATTTAATAATTTTGAAATTTCCAAAAGTTGATAAGTTAATAAAAGTTAGGGCATTATTATAGTAATATATTCTTCATAGCAAATAAAGTAAAAAAGTCTAATACTTTTTTCCTTTCGACGAATAGTTAATGAGATATCGTAAGGTAAATGTTGGAAAAGTTACCAAGTTTTCCTTAAATATCTCAAAATATATTAAGCAAATAAAAAAATATTTCAGACAGAAGTTGTTTAAATTAATTGGTAGAAAAAGATGGTATAATAAAAAACTGGGATTTCCATTTAAGAAAATCGATAATCAATGAATATCTCAAAAGTGACGCCATCTATAAACAAAATATTATCGCTGTCCTACGTCCCCCTTTAAGCTAAACAACTTTTGTCTTAAGCATTTTTCGATTTAACGCAGTGTTTCTGAAATATTTGAATGGGTCCGTTAAAATTGGACACCCTGTATATATGTATATGTGTCGACCTTTGGAAATTTCAAAATTATTAAATTAATAAAAGTTAGGGCACTATTATAGTAATATATTCTTGATAGTAAATAAAGTAAAATAGTCTAATACTATTTTTTTCTTTTGACGAATAATTAACGAGATACCATAAGGCAAATGTTGGAAAAGTTACCAAGTTTTCCTTAAATATTTCAAAATATATTAAGCAAATAAAAAAATGTTTCAGATAAAAGTTGTTCAAATTAATTGGTAGAAAAAGATGATATAATAAAAAATTTGGATTTCCATTAAAGAAAATTGATAATCAGTAAATGTCTCGAAAATGGAGCCATCTATAAACAAAATGTTATCGCTGTCCTATGTCTTCTTTCAAGCTAAACAACTTTTGTCTTAAGCATTTTTCGATTTAACGCAGTGTTTCTGAGATATTTTAGTGGATCCTTTAAAATAGGACCCCCCTATATATATATATATATATATATATATATATATACACATATATATATATAAGTATATATATAATGTATAAAGAATAATATATATATAATATATAATGAAATGTATATATATAAATATATATATAAATTTTAAGTTAAAATTAAGTATATATATATATATAAATTTTCAAAGTCTTACAGACTTTCTGGTAAATTTTGAATATTTTTGGATATTTATCTTAATTATACACACGTACACACACATTGTGTGTATATATGTGTATAAAATTATAAATATGGATGTATATTATTTCAGTTTATGATACATTTATATGAAAAACGTCTGTGTGTTTAATATTTAAAATAAAAATGATGTTCTTTATTGTCTCTAAAAGAAAAAGTATTATATATATATATATATATAAACATATATATATTTATAAACATATATATATATATATATAAACATGTGAAGAAGATTTTCGTTATCATCAATATTTTGTTAAAAGTTATTCTGGAATAATATAAAAAGCTGGATATATAAATATAAAGGGTAAAGAGTCAAAGTGTACATCAGCGAAATATTATCCCGTCTAACTGAACCGGTCCCGAAGCAGTAGTAGCGAAATAATGTATCCTTGCACCTTTCACAGAATATTTTCTTAAAACACGTTTCTACTCAAAGAAGTCTGCTCGAAGTAAAGACATGTGTTTATTGAAATAAATTAATCGGTTGTTACCAGACTTGTGACGATTGACGTTCGACATTTCGCTCGGAGGATTAAATTACTGTGTTAAAGGGAATCTAATTAGCATCACGTTAGTATATGCCCGCGGCAAAGACTCCCCACCTAAATTGTTACTAGTTTCTTCGAATCTACGTATATCTATTCGATGAATCTTCTCTCCCACTATTAACACGTTCGTTCAGTTACCACGTTCTCGCGTACCACCACTTAAATACTTGAGATCGGCATGCACGACACTCTTATGAGTGGCAACGAGTTAGTTGGTTGCATTTGATCGACTATCCGCATCGACGTGTGTGTGGCAACAGATTTTCCTTCAATCTCTGAATTCCTCTATTCAAGAGAAAAGCGAAGTAGGCTGCTCCTGCATATTTAGGTAGGTTCTTTCTTTTCTCTTATTATTCTTGTATATATATTGTATATATATATATGTGTTCTGTCTTTATTGTCAATCACCATGAAACATTCAATCTCTTTTTTACATCAAATCGAATATATACCCAGCAAACTAAATCAATCGAACCAAGTGATAGTTACATAACTATTAGTTACAATGTTCTATTCAACAATGGAACTTTTATGTAACACACGTGTTATATTTATATTGTTGAGTGAAAAATTATAACTAACAATTACTATTGCTTAATATTTGTTAGACACTTATTACGTTAAATTTATTTGGATTCATATAGTTTTTCATTTGCGTTATTCTTTACGATGCATCATCTGTATATATTTCAAAAGATTAGAGGAACTTCACAATAAACGTAAGAAAAATATATCATTCGACAAATTTTGTGGTTCATATTCTTGTTATTGAAAAAAATTACTTTTTGGCAATCCTTTACATAGAAAAAGATATTCCAAAAGCTTTCTCTCTCAAAGATACTTTGTAATTGTATATTGTGAGAATATATGTTACATATTATTATAAAGACTATATACATACATATATACATACATGTATGTATTTATATATATATATATATATTTATATATTATATATATATATATGTACATATATATTTATATATATGTATGTATAGGGAGAGAGAGAGGAACATACACACACATACACACACATATATATATATATATACAAGAGATAATATTAAGAAAAGGTCATGCATTTATTATATAAAAATATTATTTTACGATTCTTTTTGGCCCTATTTATGAATTTTTATCAAGTGCAAATTGATATTAACCATAAGAAAATTGGTTAACTACATTTCCATGATTTAAATTTCTTATTTTTATGTTATTTCCTTATATCATAAATGACATACAGTGGCATTAGGTGATTATTAAATAAATTTTCGAATATAAACAATTGAAGCATGGAAATTATATGATACTTATAAAATTTAAATTTTTAATAATTGCAACTACCATAATTATAGTGAATGTCATTTGATAAGTCAAGGAGCCTCGAGGTCAGAATTTTTATTAGTGTATGCAATATATCTCACAAATACTTATCATAAGAATAAAAACATTCTATTGTTTTAGAAAAATTAAATAGTGAATAATGTTCCTTTTCCATATTTTTGGAAGTACACAATATAATAGAGAAACTGAATTGAGTTAACGAATAGTATCGAATGATAAGATTCTTAATAATCACAATTGTAATTCTTCTCGTATTATGTAAATGATATATTAATGTTAATAATACATAATACATGTTAATAATACATAAATAATATAAAAATAATAAGATCTAGGTA